AAAAATTTATTGTTGAGAATGCTCGAATATTCCAGAACATCCCTAAATATTCCTTCTAACACCTTCTCCGAAGAGCTTCGAAATGAAATGAAATGAAAAGAAATGGTCCTACTGTTCTGCTCCGAACTCGACTAATGAAGACGGGCATGCGCCATACAGTGTGATATGAGGAAAATATTGCCCAGACAGCGGCACTACGGTCTTTTTTCATATAGAATTCCAACTGTCAAGGGATCTTTTACGTGCACGCCAATGACTAGACAGCTGTGCTTGTCAGGCCCTCTGTCCTGCATCACTCTCAATCAAATATAGAACAAATCTACTTTGTTTAAGAAATAACTTTAGATTTGAAATAAGCCTAAAAGATAATTGTCATATTTAGAAATCACAATAAACAAACTCAATCCTAAATATAACATCTAAAGTTACTAAATTAGATACCCTTAATGATGATATAATTGATAACTTAAATCGTTTATGAAAATATCTCTCTAGAATAGCAGACGAATTGCCGTCTGCCAGCATTCGACCCATCTTTTAACCCCCAACATAAACACCAGTGATACAAGTCCCTATTATCCAGCTCTATCTAAACTATACAAATCATTTTAGTCTTGCTCATCAAGTCATCTCAAAAAATTAACATTGAAATTGGCTATTGTAAACCTTTTCACAAGATATTCTCAGCCAACTCTGAATTATAACCAATTTTCTTGCTTACATTATCTTTATTTGCTATTGAAGTCACCAAATATAGTAACTTTTGAAACATTAATAGCCATATTTTAAAATTTGAAGCATATTTTCAGATAGACACTATGTACTCAACAGCCAAAAACCTCTACACTCCAAAATCCCACTGCCAACCTGTTTATTAGAAAATATCTGCAAATTATTTATTTAATGCAATTCATTTTCTCTTAGACGTAAAGTCATCAAATATTGCAATAATTGAAACATGGAAATTTATAATTAGTATTTAAAACCAGGTTTTCTCATTGACACTAAATGTACTTAAAATCTGTATCGCTCTATTGTATATAGGTGTGTAAGATACAGGCAATGATTTTATTTATATATATCATATTTTACTTTTTACTCTTTTATACATACTCAACTCTTACACTATACACATTATAAATAATTTTACTGTTCACTCTTTTATATCTACTCAACTATTAGACTATACATATTATAAATAATCAAAAATATTTGTTTTAATTATTGTATATTATTGTATTTTACTTTGCCTGTGTGTCATATATACATGTAGTAACAGGGAATACTTTGCCCGTGTGTGTCTTATATAGTAACAGCGAATACTTTGCCTGTGTGTGTCTTATATAGTAACAGGGAATAAGTAAAAAAATAAATTAAAGGTGTGGAAATTATAAAATACTGTAAATATTATAATGTATAATTATATTCTGTGAATAAATATATTACAAGCTAAAATAAATATCATTAGTATATCATGTATTATATAGCTGACTGATATCATTACGATATCATTAGACCTCTACTATTGATCAATCAATTATATGTTATGATACTTCGTTTAGTCATAAAATACTATATTACTCGTCTAATGATAGCAGGTGTTTTAATGTTGATTCATTTCACTTGAATAGAAGTTCATTATACCCATTATAAATAATTACATCACTTGTACAATATAGCTTAGGTTAACCTTTGTTACAATTCTGATTCATTCCACATGGGAGCCACGGTGGCTCAGTGAGTAAGACGTTAACTCGCTAACCTGTCAGTGATGTAGGACAACGTATAGTCCTTTGGATGGGATGAAACACCAAGGTGAGGTCCATTGTACATATTGGCGTGCACATAAAAGAACCCTTGAGAGTTGAAATTGGAAATAAGAGTAGGCCGTAGAGCCTCTGTCCGAACAAAATTTATCTCATAGCACACTGCATTAGCCCAGTCGGAGCTGAACAGTAGGACGTTAAAATCCATTTCATTTCATTTCACTTGAAATATACTGATTATAGACATTAATAATTCCCATCATATCTTGTAATACAGTAAACTTTGATGTTAATTATTCTCCACTATAAACCAATGATATGCTGGGTTTAGTATTAATTGGCCATCTATTATAGTTCATATAATATTAATAGTACATCATACTATGATATGCTTGGTTTAGTAGTAATTGGCCATCTATAATAGTTCATATAATATAAATAATATAGGATGTAGGTAATAGTTAACATGTACAGAAATTATTCACCTTAATAAGAGAGAGAGAAAGAGAGAGAGAGAGAGAGAGAGTTTCGTTATTAACATATGTTTCAATTTTATGTAAATGATTCGCTTATGCGTATGGGTCTTTAGAAGTGGGAGCAAAATTAAGAGGATGGGCCCTACTTCTTGTCCCGTACAAGCGGGGAATCGAAACCACACCACTTGACTCATTGCAGACCTTATGATCCAACGCGCATGCGTTAACCTTTCAGTCACGCAACCTCCCGCAATATTTGGAGAATTAATCTCTCAACTAAATATCCGCTTCAACCACATGGATATTAAAGAGACATTGTCACAAATATATTTATCAGGTGGTTATTCCCAGTAAAAGTATGACATGATATATATGAAAAGCTTAGACGCCCAATCTTACTAGAAAAATACTGGATTACGCGAAAAACAGGAACTGTACAAAAATGTCAGGGTATCACTAACTGCCAACCCGACGGCTCATTGTATGCTAGTTTAACTGAGGGAGCCAACACGACGGCTTATTGTATGCTAGTTTAACTGAGGGAGAGGTTGTTATTTCTTGATCGAACGGTTTGTATACGGTGAAGTATCTTTAAAATATTCTGGCTTATCTTGATATAACTGACGTTTTAGTCATATAACCACAAAATAAAATAGGAATGTAATTTAACATTTCGTTAACACAACACAATACTACCGGCTTTTTATTCTGTTATTAAGGGATGTTATGCTAATGAGAAGAATTTTGCCCTGACAGCGGCGTTTTATCGAATGTATTTTACGTGCACGCCAATGTATACACGTAGGAACCATCCGAAGGACTAGTCAGCCCAATAGACGTTATACCCCTGACAGGTGAAACTCAGGCTTGACAAACCTCAAGGTTCTTCTCGAGAATCGAACTTAATTCCCTGACATCAATATGTTATTATCAGAATACTTAGACATTGATTTATTGTCTACGGTATCAACTCAATGGAAGCGGACGTAAATTAACCTTGGTATTATGTCAAGTATTATATGATCAAGGGAGTCGCGATGGCTCAGTGAGTAACGTCTATCATAGAGTCAATTGGCGTGGACTCGGTTCCCTGCATGTACGTGACACAGAATAGGGTAGCCTGTCAACCCTCGTGGGTTTTTTCCTGGTCTATCATATACATAGAGTCAATCTGCATGGAGTAGGTTCCCCGCATATACGTGTCAACGAATCTCGTGGGTTTTTCCGGGTCCTGAACTGCGGTTTCCCTCCACTTAACCCCATATCTATCTATCTTTCTCTCTAAATATAATCTAAACGTGACATGTTAATACTATTATAAAGATAGATCTAGGAGTAGCCCGTGTCACCAACACTAACAATATCCGTCGTCCTTTAATATAACATACATTCATAATACACCGCTAGATATGCATAGTGCTAGATATGCATTCATATATATAACATAAATATAGTCTCAATATATATCACACTATAAGTTGATCTACTTCCATACTACCTATGAATACTAACTCAATGCATGAAATTCAAACAAAAATCGAAATAATAGAACAAAATACAATACAAGGTTACGATATTCTAAAATATATAAATTAGCTGAGGTCAAAAACAGTGCTAAAAAGCAAATTAAACAATTAATCAATCAAAATAATACAGTATTTGATAATGAACAAGATATTCTAGACACAATTCACCAATATTACCAACAACTATATACTACCCAAAACATTGTCGAAAACCTAATAAACTCCTATATTGAAAACAGTAACATAAATACCCTAACTAACACGGAAAGAGATTCCCTGTCTCATTTCATATCTAAAGATGAAGATCTGAAGGCGTTACAAAGTTTCAGATCAAACCGTAGCCCAGGCATCGACGGTATTCCAGGAGATTTCTATATCAAATTCTTTGACACAATAGGAACCGACCTGACAGAAGTAATAAACAACATCTATCTACAGGGTGAATTATCTAACCCAATGAGAACCGGTATAATAATAATTAATTATAAGAATAAATTGTTTGTCTATAAGAATAGAGGCGACCACCGATTATTTAAGAACTATAGACCAATAAGCCTGTTATGTGTCGACTATAAAATCATCACAAAAATATTAAGTATATGAATGAACACAGTTATTAACAAATTGATCTCTAAAACACAAACGGGAGCCGGACCAAATAAAAGCACCTTCGATAACCTGTATTTAATTGATTCAATCCTAAATTATTTAGACACACATGAAACTAATGCCTATATCTTATCGTTTGATTAGGAAAAAAGCCTTTGACCGTATTGAACACAATTATATAAAAACCCTACAAAAACATATGAATTTTCCAAATGACATTGTAAATTGGGTTACAATACTGTTTAAAAATTTGAAAAGTAAAGTTCAAGTAAATGGATCCTTCTCTCAAAATATCAAAAATAATCGTTCAATCCGTCAAGGTTGTCCACGATTCTTTATTCCTTACGTATAAATGTTGGCTCCGTATATAGCTCTCAACTAAATTAAGATAAAACCGAAATCTACCATGTTGGTGTTCGTAAACCATCCCATGACTCATTTCCTGAAAATATAAACATAAACATTAAAACAGACACAATTAAATTACTGGGCTTTTGTTCTGAGATCAATAAAATATTAGTCACTGGTCTACTTACAACCTATCGATTAAAGAAAAAGTCTGTACTTGTACTGGTCACTTATTGATAGTAAGAACGTACAACCAAAAATAAACAAACACCTACCTCATATAAATTTTGAAAAAGTTTGGCATAATTTATATAAATGTCCAACACTATCTGAAATAGAAAAAGAATTTATGCACAAAATAATACACAATGCATTTCCCACAAAAGATATTCTCCACACTCGAAATATTTACGTAGATGACTATATATGTCAATACTGCAAGAAAAATAATGAAACCTACAGTCACTTATTTCTACACTGCCCTAAATTACAGCACTTTAAATCCTTTGCTGCTACACATATAAACAATATACATTCCACAAAATACTTCTATATCATGTATCTCTACCTCTGGATCATATGGTCCAACAGAATGCATCCCTATATCAACAACATCTCCAACCATCTGATATACCAATTCTATACAAAAAGAAAAGAAAAGAAAATATAAATAAAATCACCAAGCTTCACCCTACTCTGCCTTACTAAATTCTCTGGTGTAAGGCAAATTATCGTTCTGTGTGAAGCTTCTAAATTAATTACTCTATTATGTGACTAAGCAGATCGTGCTATTTACTTTTAAGTTGCCATAACTTGGCATCTTAATCATCTTTCGTTTTCGTTAAATGGCACTTTCATACTGTGTCGTATAAACAAAATACCCATGCACCCACCGAAATAATTGTATGTTCAAAAGAAAAAAAAGAAGCAGGTGCAGGTTCGAAGGCATGGCAAGAGGAATATCAGTTAAGTCGTCCACGAGCAAAGTCGTCCACACGAAAAATCTGGTGAAGTCGTCCACACTCGTTGGTGCAGTCGTCCACATAGGCGTACGGGGAAATTTTTGACTGGGGGGGGGGGGGCGGGCGGTGGTGGTTGGTGCCCAAAAAATGTAGTTAGGTTCTTAGTATGTTACATAATAATAATAAATTCGCTGTTAAATTGGACACATTCAAGAACACAATATTTTTTTTATACAATTTTTACAAAGTACAATTGTGTGCCCAAATACGTTGGTTAAGTCGTCCACACGACATAGTTTACTTTCGGGACACATTCGCTTTATCATTTCGGAACATCTCCACGCTAGAGCGGGCCCGTTTATTAATAAACAACAAAGTAAATTGTACACTAAAATATATTAACAATCAAATATTTATTTTTTCAGGCGGGATATCCGTGTGGGGAAGAATCGCCATGGAATTGTTGCCACAGAGAATCATTGAATTTGTTATATTTATGAAATTGTTATGTATTGAAATTTTATTGTACACTTTATATTGAATTTTATTGTAAATTTTGTTGTACACGTATCATCTGCGGGCACTGGATCATCTATTAACCTAAAAAATCAAATAATACAAAATACTAATTAACCAGGGACGAAATGGCTCGGATGGGACAAAAAACCGAAGTCTCGTGTATGTGGCGTGCACGTTGAAGATTCCTTGAGAGTAGGCCGCAGCGCCGCTGTCCGCTCTAAGTGTCCCTCATAGCACACTGTATGGCGTATGCCCGTTTTCGTTAGCACAGTGGGAGCAGAACAGTAGTTTGCTGTAGTTTACAAGTGATTCCAATCGCTTAAAGTGGCAGATCGAGACATTAACCTAATTCCGTTCTAAACAGGGAGCCAAAGGGTGCTAGCTTACTAAGTGAGTAAGACGTTGGCTTGTAAGCATGGAGGTCGCGGTTCATCTGGATTTTCCGATGTGGTTTACCTTTGTCAGTGGTGCAGGACGGAGGGCCTGCCAAGGACAGCTATCTAGTCGTTCGGATGGGACGAAAAACCGAGGTCTCGTGTATACATTGGCATGCACGTATGCCTTGGCAGTTGGAATTATTGGGTATTATTAATTGGGTGTTATTGGGTAATTCAATACGCCCGGTCGGGGCATATTAGAAAAAAAGTTATAGGCCAAGGCATGTCATAGATTTAACATTAAAATCACCTGGGGAAATAATTACTAATTACTAATTACTGACATCATAATTATGAACATGCTTAGAGTTATAGCCCTTGATTTCACATAAAACGTATCAAAGCTATATACAGGGCTGAGTTATTGCCCGAATTTCATGAAATTTGCTCAAATCCATATCAGCGTGAATTTGACCATCTTTCTTTTTTTTAAATTTGGTTTTGGTGTTCAATATGAGAATGTCTCAGTCACGAATACGGAAGGACTCATCACTTTTTTTTCTATTTGCAATTTTTCTATATACACCCACGCGTAATATAGGCGTATAGAGTTGTCGGCTGTCGGTCAGCTGTTTCGTTACACAAATTTACAAACCTTGACAGGATGATCCATATCCATTTATCCTGCATTGTTGCAGTTTTATAGTAAAATAGATAGGGTGACTAATGTCGTCCAAGTTTATAAAACAATCAATTATTGTACCAGGTGAGAATATATAATAAAAATACATCACCTATTGATATATAATTATATATAAATAATCTTGTCTTGGAGAGCGGCGCGACAGCTTACTCTTACACGGAATTCCAATACCTGCACGCCTGAGTAGACAAGAACTGTCGGAACAACTAGGTGTTATCTATTGCCAGGCCCAAAGTCCTGCACAATGGAAAACGGGGGAACCACGCCAGTTCATGACAGTACATTTAACCCCGTATTTATCACAGTCACACCCAATATATATAATACTAGAATGGGGTTTAACGTCTCCTCAATTTAAGACTAATTAATGTATTTTTCTTTTCAATCGCCAGGCGTGCAATACGATGGTGAACTTTGCCTGGAATGCCGCTTTTTACCCTATCCGATGGATTAGGCACATTTCCTTTGTCAATTCCGCCGGGGCCACCCTGAAAAGCGAGAACGAGTTCTTCTCGGGCCCATGGCGTGATTCGAACTCTAAAACGCAATTTAAAGTAATATTTAACTGTAAATGATGTTACATCAAAACCTTCTTTTAATTTTCTCTACCTTAATTATGGGGGGTTGGATGGCGGAATGGTTAGCACGCGCGCTGTACCATACGGCCTGTCATTGAGTGAACTGGCGGGGTTTCGATTCCCCGGTTGTACGTGACAAGGAGTAGGGTCGCCTGTCCAACCTCGTGGCTTTACTCCGGGTCCCCCGGTTTTCTCCCACTGCTAAAGACCCCTACGCACAAGCGAATGATTAAAATAAAATTGAACCATGTGTTAGTCACGAAATGACCTAGTTTGTGTCGAGTGGACGTTAAACCCCATTTCTCTCTTTCACCTTAATTATGTTTTATTAGTCGCTACCCACTGTAAAATAGGGTGTTGGATGGCCGAATGGTTAGCGCGTGCGTGTTGTATCCCGTGTCGGAGCGGCCCCTTTTACTGATCGCGGAGCCCGGATGGGGGAGTCCGGAGACTTAATAATTAGTAAATTTGCCGGTGAAAGTGTCTGGTGAATCCGGTGAAATTTTCGGATTCCGAATTCCGGCCCACACCCAGCACACCCGGCCCAGAAAGTCTATTATACCAGCCCATTCCAAACTCCAGTGATGTCGTGGCGGCCCGTTAAAGCTACCGGCCACATACAACATGATCATCATCGCTGCATGACCGGTTCAATACACCCCCCCCCCCCCCCATATAATGTTCAGAAGAAAAAGGTTTTATTAGACGAATTGCACCAAATTATTTTTTTCATTTTTTGTCTGACCGGCCGATGGCCCAATCCAGCCCTGGGTGTTTCATAAGATCTGTCATTGAGTCAACTGGCGTGGTTTCGATTCCCCGGTTGTATGTGACAAGGAGTAGGGTCGCCTGTCCAGCCTCTTGGGTTATCTCCTTGTCCCCCGGTCCCAGTCCTACGTGCAAGCGTATTATTGAAAAAATTGAAATACACTGTATATGTTAGTCCCGAAATTACCTAGTTTGTTTCGAGTGAACGTTTAACCCTATCTTCTCCCTCTCCATTGTAAAATACTGATTATTTGTTTGTTCTCAAATCCCCCCCCCCCCCCCCCCCGCATCAACAGTTGTAATAAAATAAGTTTAATTTAAACAATAAACCACAGCACATAATTATGGAAATAATAATTTATTTTGACATTAGGAAGTAATCGCTCTTTCCACCGTAAGAATATAAAAAAATGTCCGCCTAGTATCCGGTATCAATTTTGGCCTATCTTGATATTACTGATAACCACAAAAAACACAACACACTACTCCCGCTTTTTTCTGAAATGACATGAAATGAAATGAAATGGGGTTTAACGTCCTACTGTTCTGCTCCTAACCTGGGCTAATGAAGACGGGCATACGCCATACAGTATGCTATGAGGGAAATTTTGCCCGGACAGCGGCACTACGGCCTACTCTTATATCGAATTCCAACTGCCAAGGGATCTTTTACGTGCACGCCAATGTGTACACGGGACCTCGGTTTTTCGTCCCATCTGAACGACTAGACAGCTTTCCTTGTCAGCCCCTCCGTCCTGCATCACTGACAAGGGAGAACCACGCCCGCTTTTTTCTGTTGTCAAGGGTGTGATACTAAAGAGAAGAATCTTGTCGGGTCATGGGCATTTCATCGAATTTCTTTTAAGAGCACGCCAATGTATACACGGGTGGACCTCTGTTTATCGTCACATCCGAAGGACTAGTCAGCTTAACGGACGCTGTCCCTGGCAGACGAAAATCAGGATCGACAAATCTCAAGGTCCTTCTCAAGATTCGAAATGAAATAAAAATGAATTGAAGTTTAACGTCCTACTGTTCTGCCCCGAAATGGGCTAATGAAGACGGATATCCATACAGTGTACTTTCAGGGAAATTCTGTCCGGGCAGCGACACTACGGCCTACTCTTATATCGAATTCCAACTGTCAAGGGATCTTTTACGTACACGCCAATGTGTACACGGAACCTCGGATTTTCGGACCCTCCGAACGACTAGACAGCGGTCCGTGTCAGGCCCTCCGTCCTCAATCACTGACAAGGGGAAATCACGCCGGAAAATCTAGATGAACCAATACAGAGATCGAACACCGAACCTCCAGATTAGCGAACCATCAATATGTTAATATCAGATTACTTACACCTTGATTTATTGTCTACGGTATCTTCTCAATGGAAGCGGACGTAAATTAACCTTGATATTATGTCAAGTATTATATTATCAAGCGAGTCGCGGTGGCTCAGTAAGTAAGACACTCGTTCGTTAACCAGGGGGTTATGGGTTTGATCCCAGTGTTAGTTGAGAAACCTATTCTGGATTTTCCGGCTTGGTTTCCCTCTGTCAGTCCTACAGGAACACCGTCTACTCGTTGGGATGGGGCATGGTACTAAAATCGGAGAGTCCCGATGAACTTTCTAAGCAGGGATATATCGCCATGTGTACCCAGTCGTGTATATTATATCTAGAGGTTTATTAACTAGTTGATGCTTACTACATTGTTGAAGATACCAAGTTGGAGACATACAGAGAAACACGTGAAAGTATAGCTGTGTAAAAGTATAAGCATTATAATATATCTCACTATAAGTTGACCTACTTTCATACTACATATAGTCATAATATTAGAATTATGTTGTTGTTGTTGTTGTTCTTAGCGTTTAACGTCCGCTTCCACCGAAGGTGATATCGCAGACAAGTTCATTTTAATGATCTTAGCGCACGCGCAGGGGTCTTTCCTGTGGGAGGAAACCGGAGTACCCGGAGTAAACCCACGAGGTTGAGAAGGCGCCCCTATCTCCAAGCCACATACGCTCACACCTGGGATCGAAACCACAGCCGCAAGCCAGAGGTGACCGGCCAACTAGAGGTCGAAGCGTGGCACTCTAGACCACCAGGTCATCCCAACCCCCCTATTTATAATTATGGACGTAGATCGCTAGATATAGTGTCAATATGATATAGCGTGATAGTGGTAGCCTCTGTTACCAACGCTAACAATATCACTTGTACTTGACATACATAACATACATTCATAATATTATAGACGTACACCGCTAGATATAGTGTCAATATGACCTACCGTGATAGCGATAGCCTCTATTACCTACTCTAACAATATCAGTGGTAGTTGACGTACACCGTTATCGTCTGGGTGACAAAGGCAAATGCCGAAGGTCATTATATCAAAACGAAAATAAAAATAGAATTTCCGAGAAACTGCAGCAAGTTTACGCATGTTCAGTCTACGGCATAAGGAAGACAAACTGTGCAAGACGATGAAAGACGTGGATTTTTATGTGATTTAGACGTTTTCGATAGAATTTCCGAGAAACTGTAGCACATTTTCACTTGTACAGTCTACAGTCCGAGGAAGATAAATTGTGTAAGACGATGGTATTATAGACGTACACCGCTAAATATAGTGTCAACATGACATGGCGTGCTAGTGGTAGACTCTGTTACCCACACTAACAATATCCGTGGTAGTTGATACACACAGTGATAGTCTGGGTGACAAAGGCTAATGTCGAAGGTCATTATATTAAAAAGAAAATAAAAATAGAATTTCCAAGAAACTGTAGCAAGTTTACGTATGTTCAGTCTACAGCATAAGAAGAACAAACTGCGAAAGACGAAGAAAGACGTGAATTTCTATGTGATTTACATGTTTTGTTTGAATTTAATACTTTTGATTTTTAGTTCATCTATCTCGATATCAAGTATTATATTGTTTGATTTTGTATTTTCATCCAGTTTGAACTCGTATTGTCTACAATTATGTGACTTAGACGTTTCTAAGAAACTATATCAAGTTTATGCATGTTCAGTGTACAGTCCAAGGAAGATAAACTGCTCGAGAAGATGTCAGGCGAGGTTAGACGATTTGGCTAAATTTAGCAGTTTTGATTTCTAGGATATCGTATATATTATATTTAGCCTAATTGTTTGTTGTTGTTTTGTCCAGTTTATACAACCAGTGCAACAAACAGTTATTTAAAATGGCAGAGAAGGAAGTGTGTAGTATTTGTTTGAACGAATTTCAACAACGCGTGGTACTCGATTGTGCACACCCCTTTTGTTTTATCTGTTTAGAAGATTATGTGAACAAAACCTCCACTAAAGATCAGTTCCAATGCCCATTATGCCGTAGTTTTATAAATCTCAGTGACGGAGGTCTGGATCGATTTAAACCTAAACCAATTAATATTCCTCAATGTGATGTATGTACGGAAGATACATGTCAATATTTCTGTCGAGAGTGTGATCAATATTTATGTAAATCATGTAAAACCATGCATGATAAGTTAAAATCTTGTAAAGACCACGTTGTGTCTCGATATGATGAAACACAGATCTATCAAGCGCCTACTTCACACGAAACAATAAAGGAAAAAGCTTCGGCTTCGTCTATCACAAATCCTAAAGATTTCTGTCTGCGCCATGAAAAGGAGACCGTAAACGTATACTGTAAAGATTGTACTGTAGCCGTTTGTTGGAAATGTTTCGTGGCCGATCATAATGGACATAAATGTTTAGATTTACAGGAGGATGAAGTCAGACAAAGTATCAGACACGATTTAAAATCAATGAATGATGAATTAGAAAAACAAATCACTAATTTTCAGAAACATTATGATAATCTAAATAGCAGGTTAATTGAAGTCAAAACCTGCACGAAAACTGAATGTGACAAAATAGATGCACAGGTTGAGAAAATCTGCTCAGAATTTCACAAAATCGGAGAAAATATTAAAAAGAAAATGCAGAAAGCTAGTGAAGAGGAAGAATCCAAATTCAGGAAATTGATGGAGGACATTAAAAGACTAACAGAAGATTTAAAAGCAAGTGTTAAATATTCAGTGAATGTTTTAGAAGATTCATCCGTTGTTCAAGTTTTACAAAGAATACCTAAAGTTAGACAGGAGAAAGATGAAAGTTGTTGTAGAAAATTGGATATACCTGATGTAAGATATTCAACATTTCAAGTAGCAGAGATAGATAAAACTTTGTTAACTAATCAACTTGGTAAAATTGTAAGTTGTCATCAGAATATGATTGGTAAAGTTGTAAGTTGTCATCAGAATATGTTTGAAGATGTTTTTAATGTGGATACTGTGGGAGATGGTGGTTGGTATAAAGGTAAACGACATGTAGTTTCAGGTTTTACATGGGATATTGATGTGTATAAACCAGGATCATCATTATATGTTGGATTAAACCTGAATGACGTAGAAGATAAAAGTATTACGTCATTTAAAGTTGACGTCACATGTAAAGTTATAAATAAAACAGATGATAGACAATCTGTAGTTAAACAACGTAATGAGACTGTTAGACTTGGTAGGACATACTGTCGTGCTGATATTATTAACTCTATACACTGTCGTACTGATCTTATTGACTGGAAGAGACTCAGTAATCCTGTCAGTGGATTTATTGATGATAATAGAAACTTTACAATTCAAGTAACAATTAATGACATAACTGACATTAAAAGACGTTAATAATTAGACTACTGTTATGGCTGAATTATTGTTAAATAATGTTTTGTTTACGGTGTAAGGGAGATAACATTATTTCTATCCGAAATGGAATAAATTATGGTCAATCGCTGGAAGAAGTAGTTGATAGTTTTTTTCAGATGGAACTTTAATACATGTATAATATCATTCCATATTATAATAAAAAATGATTCCAGATGGAGCTAAAATACATGTATATAATATCTTTCCATATTAGAATAATAATTGTAAACTCTTTGTATTGTTGTTTTATTATGAAGCACTGGTAGTAACCAACAGGTCAAGGGAAACAAAACAAGTTACTGAAAACAGGCATTCCAACCCATTCTTGTTCGACACCGGCTTTGACTGAGAAAGTTGAACAATTTCCAGCCTGTTTTCCACTTTGTTAGGAAAAACGTGTAGTTACCATTTTTAAAACAGTTCTTGATCTTGAAGTCTGTTAACTTACATTAATGCAATAAGAAAAAAACCTGTGCGCCGTTAATATAGAGGTAGCAGTTTACTGTTAAAGGTACACCAGTGGGAGGAAACCGGTGGACCCAGGGAAAACCCAAGAGGTTGGACAGGCGATCCTACTCATTGTCGTGAACAAGCGGGGAATCGAAACCACGCCACTTCACTCAATGATAGACCTTATGATGCAACGCGCACGCATTAACCATTAGGCAACCCAACCACCTCTCAATAGAAGATAGGATAGAGGGTTACAAATCTGATCACAAATTTGTATTAATACCTGCTTTAAATTAATAGCTGACTTAATTGGGTAGAAACGCCATTGTACGGACTAAATTCTCCCCTGTGCATTGCATTGTGAATCGTTATGTAAAAAAGTGAAGCAAAGTCTCTATATATTGGTGAGATTACAAGATTGTACCAAGGGTTAAGTAATTATCAGGAATTGTTCTTCTTATATAAAATATTCTTCGAAATGTCGCCTAAATATGGTACCTATTAACCATAAGCATGGTTAATACTGGTTTAGTCTATCCAATTAGTAAAACAAGCCAAAATATGGTAGCTGTTTACCTTAAGCATGGGTAATAGCATGTTAGTCTATCCAATTAGTAGATATCACTAACAGATTATTGCTCTGTCTTACTAGCTATCCTTGTATAACCCACCATACAAGTTGTACTGATGTCGTCATGTCACGTTATATAACACAGCTAGCAATATATATCTGATATGAACTGTAAGAAACTATACAGCTGCTATATAAGACTCTGACACATAAAAAAAACATGTTAAAAAGCCAAAATTAGTATAGAGCCCCCCCCCCCCCCCCGTCAAATACACCCGCTTATAATTCTAAACTAGTTTATGATAACACATCCACTCGAGTTGGTGAAGTTGAAGGTAGACAAGTGAAATGATATGAAATAAGGTTTAACGTCCTACTGTTCTGCACCGACTGGGCTAATGAAGACGGGAATATACGACAAACAGTGTGTTATAAGTGAAATTTTGCCCGGATAGCGGAGCTGACTCTTATTTCGAATTCCAATTGTTAAGGTTTTTTTTAAGGTCCCCGCCAATGTGTCTACGGGTCCCCGGATAGTCGTCCTATCCGAACGCCTACACACGTTGCCCCGTGCCCGTACCACTGACAAGGAGGAAATATGCCGGAAAAAAAACGATGAACTTTCTTGGCCAACGATATGAGACCTCCAGGTTAGCGAGCCGACGTCCTACCCACTGAGCAACCGTGGCTGTCATGGGTTCTTTTACGTGTCCGACAACATTTAACGTCTTACTAATCACCACCGACTGCAATGAGGGGCCTTCTTTTATTTCGAATTCCAGTTGCCATGGATTCTTTTACGTGCCCGACAACGTGAAGACTGCAAAATGTCCCTCATAGTACACTGTATGGCGCATGCCCGTCTTTATCAGCCCAGTCGGAGAAGAAAAGTAGGACGTTAAACCCCATTTCATTTCTTTTCTTTTCTAAATATTGAGCTGGAGATTTTGATCGCGACTTTTTTGGAGTTTTTCCACCGGTAATTCGAGACTATACTATACGCTCAGTCAACCAGTCCCCTCTTACTTTATGACTCATTGGAAAATTAAACGAAACGCGACATTTTGCGTAGGTTTATGAGCCGGATGAGTGGGAGGGGCAGAAATGATGCGCCCGAAAAAAAAATCCTTTGGTTTTGCAACCGAAATCCCATGCTATGTCCACCCGAATTCCAATCAATCAGACGTCGGCATTGACCCGATGCCTGAAATTTCACACCCCGGGAAACAAGGCTCATGCCATGTAAAATGTGGCGCATAAAGCAGAGTGACAACTCTACTATTGCGCTAAACACTGTTTATTACACTGATTTAAAATGTGTAAATGTTAAGAGTGGTACTTGAGCTTTATCTCCGATAGGAATGTTTCTTAAGAGCTGAAAATGTCATATAGATTAAATTGTCGTACATCTCTGGACACTGTATCGGCACATGGTGTACAGGAGCATGGGAATATACACTCTTGTCTCTGTCTCCCCCTCTCTCACCCTCTCTCTCTCTCTCTCTCGCTAACAAACAGACAGTGCTAGATTGACCTGTGGGCTTGACAGGATGAAACCTAGGAGGGTCTCAAGATATGAGGGTCATCGGGCCAAGATATGGGTGAGTGGAGGGTG